CATTTTACCCCTCGCCATGATCGCACAGGTGGTTTAGCATGAGAAACACTTCCAAAAACTCACACTTTTGTATAAAGTCCAACAATTACAGCCACTACTACACTAGTCCAACCGTCCATAAATTACATTATAAACCACCTTCATGGCTATTAACCACCTACTCTCCATTTTATGTCCACCATAAAAGCCCAGCTATAAGAAAATCCCCTGGGGACAAACCCTCACTCTGCAGTCATGGAAGTGCAGAGCAATGGGGGCAAGCAGACGAACATCATGGCCCAGTCTGAGTGCTGTTTTCTGGGCTGTTGGCCCACAGTTCTCTGGCTGCAGTGCCGCAGTGATCCTCCTCCCCAGAGCTGCAGTGTCAAAGTCTACACAACTATGGCACTGTGCCTCTGCGCCAGCACCACAACAGCAGGTGACTGACTGTGAGATCTATAAGCTTTAAACAATGGAAGACAGAATACATCTACAGCTTATGAATGCAGTGAGCGATTCCAGTGATTCGGAAAGAAGAAGAAAAGAAAAAAACAATTTAAATGCTTTATTTTTGGATTCAAAAGCCATATCTTAAAGGTATTCAAATATTTTAGGCGACAGCAAATCGTCCACAATATTACTTTAAAAAGCAGCACTTTTAAATGCACACGCAAGTCAGCACAAAGAGTAAAGTTGCAGTCACAAGAGTGTCCAAAATTATTTTAGACCCCACAGTACTGCAAACCATGCAACTTTGAAAATTGTGCACACTCCGAATTCAGTCTAGAGGTCAATATGTGATGTTTGTATATGCACTTTGGGTTTAGAATGAGATTAATATCTTTTCATTCATTTTCCTTCAGCTTAGTCCCTTTTATATCAGGGGTCGGCAAAGAGGAATGCACCGTCAACTATTCCAGCATACTGTATGTTTTAAGCTGCAGATGCCCTGCCAACATCCATACACTCTCACATTCACACTCATACACTATGGCCAATTTAGTTTATCCAATTCACTTATAGTGCTTGTCTTTGGACTGTGGGGGAAACTGGGGCACCTGTAGGAAACCCTCTTGAACTTTGAACTAGTGACCTTCTTGCTGTGAGGCGACACAGAGCCACCTTGCCACCTAATATGTTTGTTCTATGTGAATTTGGAAGTCAGAGCTCATCAAGTTTAAACTTTGGTCCAAGTGAATGTTTTTGTTTCGAGTTCCTAATGTAATGCAAAGTCAAAAATGGTTGTAGGTTTAACCCTGATCAATGGCTTTTATAATGTCATTGAATATCACAGATCAAGCTGAAACAATGTATTAAATGAGAGAATTAGGAATATTACAATTTACCTCAAATTGGTTTTAATCAGGGGAATATAAAAGGCAAAGCTTTGGAAAGATAAATGAAAGGTGCCATATAAGGAAAATATGAATGTACCTAGGCATAGGTGAATAAGAGTTATGACTGGGCCCACATGGAATCTGCGAACAGAAATCTGCAGATTTTTTGCCCATTGTATTTACTTGTGTTAATGTGTGTAAATTTATATTTAATATTTTTTTTTTATTCATTTCACTAATATTGTTGTGATATAATAATAGTAATATGAAAATGTTCATATGATTTGTTTACGATACAGTTTGTAAAGTAACATTTTCTGTCTTTTAATAGATACATTATACGAGAGACTCGATTTGTTTACCAAATAAGTGGATCTATTTGGAGTTGCATTGTAAACAATAAATAAAGTTTTAAAAAATGTATTTTCTTTTATTTCATACATTAAGTTTTTAGTTATGATACTCCCAAAATCATTCTGCATAAATCTGCAGATCTTTTACAAAACTCCAGTGAGCCTCAAACACCAATTTCCTCATTCTCATGGCTTTATGACTAAAGCCCTCCATGCCATGCTACGTCTTTACATTGTTCTCTATACATTGCTAAGCAACGTGAACAGCCATCATACACCTACAGAAAACAATGTTTAGAATTTTAAAAGACACGGTGCGGTGCTTCAACTTTAAAGTCAATAATCACTTAATTATCTTACACTTGTTCCAAACCTGTTTGAGTAATTTTATTTATTTTTTCCATTAACTATTGATATCAAGGGCTATATATGTGTGTTCCTTACATTCTTCAAAATGTCTTCTTTTGAGCTCAACATAAAAAAACTCATAAATGTTTGGAACCACTTGAGTAAATAGTGACACTTTTTTCTTTATTAGGTTAACTATTGCTTCGAATGTTGAGCTTGACTTGACTTGATGATAATTTATTAAATGAACAACAGGGGAAAAGATAGACAAACATTTTGACCATAAGGATCAAAATGTCCTAGTGCAATGTTTTATTTATTTTTCTCTAGTTGTTCAAATAATAAATTATTGAGTGCACACCTTTTTTTGTAACAGAGTACAAAAAATAACATCACCGCATTAAATAGAAAATACAATAACAAACATTAGGAAAGAGAGAAAGAGGAAAGAAAATCTTTACAAAGCCTCAATCATTAAGATTAAGAAAAAAAAATTATCATAAGCTTTAAGTAACGTATTATTATTATAATTAATAATAAGCTTACGAAATGTAACATTGAATAAAATTTCAACAAGGAAGGCATTAAATCTAGGTATTGTCGTTAGGAACTTTTTTTTTTGTATAAATAATTTACAGTATAACAAAAACAGTAAGATTGAGAGCATGATCATTACCAAAAAAGTACAGAAATATCATGAATAGAGAAATTTACGTACACATGAACCAGAAGAACCAACAACTATTTTTTCATATTGTGACGTGAACAACGTAATACTAAATGACAAAACAGTGGGCGTGGCTTGTTTTCTTCTACTGAGAGCTGAATGGATGTGGTAAAGTAGGCATTTCATCCAGAAAGATCTGAAAAAGTGTTTAGGGAGAGTTATTACAACCTAACAGATTCCTCCTGATCACCATTTCTATTTCTATTTTCACTATTTTCACTACTGAAAAAAAAACAGAAAGTGCATTTTCAGACTTCAATTAAAGATTAAAAGGGTAAACTTTTTTTCTTAACAAAATCCACAGATAATCTGTTCACCATAAAACTAGCAATTTGAGCTAACAATATCATATGTTTAGTTTTGATTTCTTGGGAACTATAAAATGACTATAAACAAAAACATATGTTATCCCAAAGAAATTGAATGTGAGTGCAATTCTAAAATAACTGAAATAAATTTTCTTTATGTATATTGCTAAAAGTAATACAAATTAGGATCGCTATTCTAAAGATCTAGGCACAAAGTCTAAAGCAAATGGCGCAAAAGCACAAAGAGCATGTCCAAATGCACTTTTTCTAGTTTAAGGACGAAGAAATATGGTTTGTGCCATGACACATGGTTTAACAGGGTTGTGCTTATTCTCTTAATGATTTATAGGTGTGTTTTGAGCATAAAGTGCAATAAAGCAATCAGAGTTTCATCTCACATTCCCTTTAAAAGTCAATTGCACTGCGCCATGGCGTATTTGCTATTTACATGGCGGACTTTTTACAGTAATGGGAAAAACTGAACGCTCTACTAGCCAGGAAACAGACTGTCTGTATGAGGATAAAGAATGAGCCTCCTTCATTCGGCCTCTTTACTTTCTCTTTCTCTTTATTTGTACTCCTTACTCCTTTACTTTCATGGATAAGGAAACGGTGTGGTACACACTCCACTGAAGACATTCATTGGCCTACATATTTTATTTACTTTGTAAAGTGCAAAGATTTGTTTTAAAACTATTTCTAAATTCAGCTCTAATTTCCAGGAAACTAATAAATGAACAATAATAATGTAGTGTGGTCAAAACACTGAGTTACATCGAAACACACGTCCAAATATATGTAAATATGCATTTAATAAATAATACTGCAAATAATTACAACATCATACAAATGCAAATTGCCATGAATGAACTAAAAAAAAGCATGGAGGCATAAAAAAGACATAGAGGAAGTGGTTTTTATACATATGTAGAAATTAATAATTTTTCTAACATTTTAATCCTTTAATTTTTTTGTTATGTAAAGATATTTGTGTATTGCTGTAAATCCTGTGTGTATTAAGCAATGTGTAAGTGTTTGAACTCACATAGGCGCACAACTAATGCACTCTGCGCTGGACTTTAGACCTGCTTTTAGATGGTGAATGTAGCAACGCGCCAACAATGCGTTTTAACACATCTCTATTTTAGACCAACACCCCCATGAGTCCACAAAGCAGCACAAATGGATTAGCTATTTAAACATAGTGGTGCAAAACATGAAAATTAGAGTTGCACTGGTCAGAAAATAGCAAGAAATCGCACTTAACATGTCTTGCACCATATTGCGCTGTGCATATGATAGGGCCCTAGATATTTCAAAAATAATTAGCAATTTAGAAATTTGTAGGATATACATTATGCAAAATCTTAAAATGCATCTCTTATTTTGTTGTATATGTCAAACTTTTCAGGTAATAACCATGCTCTCTTACAAACGAATGTGCAGACCTTCTTTGGTACTTGTCATTTGAAGAAACTTGGTCAAGACTCTACATTTATTAAACTATTCATTTAAATGTCCATGGTTGTAAAGCAGGATAGATTCTGATTTGCTGCCAATGTTTTTAATGACTCATTAGCTGAAATAATAATAAAAAATTAACAAAAAAAGACCTTCTTAAGGCAATAACAACATTATTATTTCTCTGTGCTAGCATTCTTTTGTATTCAACATAATCTCTCTTAGACACAGAATGGCTTCTTAGATACTGATCTTGTTTCTAGACACCAGTCGTGAGAGAAGATTTGCAGCAGCAGCGGGAGGTGACTGACCTCTTCATGCCATGGCTCTGCATCAGCGCAGCCTGGTTCATGGCCCGGATCCAGCCATTCATGTCCTCTTGTGTGTCGGCGCTGAAGAAGTAAGTCCTCATGCCACAGTGCTCGGCCTGCGAGCCAATCAGAGAATTCTTATTGTAAATGTAGGAGCGCATTCCCGTGTGGCAGGCCTGAGGGAGAGAGACAGAGGAGGGGGGACCATCAGCTGTGATCATGCATAAAGGCTGCACGTGCAAATTGAGGCCCTGGACTAGTGGGCCCCGGGACTGCTGTGACAACACCCCCATCACTGTAGCAAAGCTCAGGAGTCATGCTGAACTGATCTGTTTACTTTGTTGATCAGAACAGAAAGAAGGATCTGTAAGAGGATTACAACCCAATGATAATTGCATTATGATTGCTACAATTATTAGCATGCACATCTGTCTAATAATTTGCACTAGTGTAATAAACATTTGAGACCTTTATTGAAAAGTAAATGTTATAAAGACTATGCTTAGAATATGGAGGACAATTATGCTACAGAATACATTTTAAAAATTAACAATAGAAATAACTTTTAATACAGTAGCTTTTTGTTTCGATACATTTTTTAAATGTAATGTATGCCTGACATAGCAAAGCTAAGTTACACCAATGTCACATGAGCCATTAGAAATCATTCTGATACGCTGATTTTGGTACGTAAGAAACATTCTGCACATAATTTCTCTCTTATTTATTTAGATTTTTAAAGTATAAATAAATGTATTTTGTCCCTTAGTTAAAGGTGCAGTATGTAAGTTTGACACCCATTGGTTGAACTAGGTATTGCACCCCTGGATCAATACACATTTTCACTTGGCTTTTCCTCTGACGAGTCCATGCAAGTGCAGGTTGCCAGACTGACGTGTGTGTGGCTGACTATCAAGCCTAAAGGCTGATTTTAACTGTTTTATAACTAAAAGCAAGTAATAGAAAGAATACTTTCCATACTAAAAGGAGTTTTTGTCCTAACCAACACCTGAAATGTTTATTTTAGAAACGGCTTCTATTTCTCACAGGTGAACAACAAGATGAATAATGATCACCTAAGTTACACCTCATGTGCTTTATTCAGTGTTAAATGGTAGTAATGTGAGTTTGAATGCTATTTAACATGACATTTATTGCCATACTACTGAAAGCAGCAGCAAACTTAGTATTGCTTTTCAGATAAACAAGAATGTTCACTTAGCATGTTTCCTAAATGTCTGCAAACATTTTATGGTATTTTTATGCTATGGAAGAGTCAAAAACTTACATACAACATTAATGTTGATGAATGCATCTTTGCTTGATAAAATAATCTATTTTTACTTTTACTTATTTTTTTCAACAAGCGAAAGTGTACATTAATCAACATTTCCCAAGAACGTAATTGTACCCAAATTAGCCAAAAGACTAGTTTTCATTGGTGGTCCATTTGCCAGATGTAAAAAAGCCTATACAAAAAAAAGTACAAATTCAAACTACAAACAATAATAATTTAATTAATACAAAAAATCTTTCTGTCACAAATAATTTTATAGTAATTGTCACAATCTATAAACTATAAGATATGAAGTCACAAACTATAACAATTAAAGTCACTATTTATAAAAAATAAAGTAAGAATTTTTAGCTTTTAGAATTGATAATAAAGAAATAGTTGCCTGATATTTTAAAGATTTTAAAAAGAGCTTCTATAGAAAAAAATGAATTATTGTCAGAAAAATAACACCAAATATCTGACTCCAACCCTCAGTGCACAGTAAACAAATGATAAACCAATAAACTACTTTGCAAACCACTGCTGCAAAAAAGCTTTTTTCTTACATAATACTACATTTTCCTGCATTTACTGCGATTCATTTAAGTTTTTACTATAAGTAATCAAGCCTTCTCGCCTTTTTGCATCTATAATTGTACACACAAGTCTACAAATACATTTTGGAACAACTGTACAGTATTTTACAATAAACAACACTAGAGATGCGCACAAATACTTACATAAAGCTGTTAAATCTCTAACTCTGTTTAATGCTGGGTTTAACAGGGCCCCCAGCTAAACTAGCTCCATGCACCTTCTGTTCTGTTAATCTGCTACTGCCAAAATGCAACTGTTGGTCTAATCTCTCTGACGGGGGTCCGGCCAGCGCTCACGCATCGAAACGCTTACGAACACAGTCCAGCTCAGCGCTTTTCCAAGGCCCACCCCAGACCCATTCAGACAGGCAGCAGACCGTCCTTCCCACCTTCACATCTCCAACACACACACACACACACACACAGAGCTTACATCTGGTTACATTGACTCGTTCTGCAGAAAGTCAATGCAGCGGCCTCTGGGCTACATCAATGGCGTCTCTTAATTCACAATTGGACAGCTGCATCTCTGCTCTCGGCACATCTCTTCAGGAGCCTCTCCAGGAGTCTATTATCCCACCTGTCACAGGCTAATGGCTAACGCAGACCCTGCAATATCTAATAGATCTGCTCCTGAAGTCTTTATGTTACCTGACTCTCTAGCTGTTTTGTCTTGATATCACAAATGTGTTGACAGATGAGTGTATATGGTGTGTGTGTGGTCATTTGAAAAGCACTCAATATGATTGGGAGATTGGCTAAACAAACTATGTGTTCTTTGAACATACACATGTTCATAAATAACATTTTCAGCACACATAATTCAGTTTAGTACACTAAAACCCAACAGTTAACTTCAAATGAAATGAGCGCAGAATTGACTGAAAGTTAATTCTACTCATTTGAAAAGAGTTTTGAACTGTTGTTGAAGGTAGTGAGTTAATTAAATACCTCATTACATCAACTTAAATTGATTAAGTTCACAGTACTCATATGGATAAGTTTTTAAACTTAAATGGTTTGTTGCAATCAGATTCCTCAAATGGTTTGAGTTCCCTTAACCTTTTGGGTTTTACAGTGTATACATGCCTATAGAATGAATGCATTATTGCTTTAGTCACTGAATGTGCAGAACTTTCCAGTGAGTGGGGATGTGTGACAATATATTTTATATACACACTCACTAGTTACTCTTCATTAGATGCATTTTGTAAATAATGAAGGAGAAAAACTACTCTTTTGCCAGAAAAGGGCTCAATAAAAGTTGACAAACACAAGACATGCATTATTTGAAGCGGTTAATCTAACTAAAGAACTAAATCATAAGGTTACATGGCTTGCACTATTGCCAGAAAAGGTGTTGTTTAATGTGTTTAGGACACACTTTTCTTAGAAAATAGTTTGCATCTTGTGGTTGAATACCTGTAAATGCTTTAAAGTATGGATAAGCCAAAATGAAATGGGTCGAAACTAAAGATTTTAGATGGACTTGGCCGAAAACCAAAAATAAAAATGCTTCGTAAAATTATTAAAAATTTAAAAATCATTTTATAAGACTTTACTTTATACAGCAACTTAAAAAGAAAAAATGAAATTAAAAATAAAAAAAAAAACACAAGCTAATAAATAATATGTTTTATTGACAGTAGTATAAAATTGGACTGAAAAAAATTGATTAGAACACTTGATGTAATTTATTTTATTTAGGTATTAGTTGTTTTGTTGAACTGGCTTTTACAACATGCTGAAATATCGACAAAGTCATCATTATGTTCTTTTTAAGGTCATTTTACTAAAAAACGACCAAGGCCTATTTCACCATCAATGTCACACAAAAATGTTACTACACAGAAGAAGCCAAATTACTTGTGCAATCATTGTCAGGCATGCAGAACATTGGAGCTGAAGTTCTCAGGACATATTTATATAATGCCAGGGGATTTGCTATTGAAGGAGATCAAGCAGAAGTACTGCTGCAAAAGATGGACATATTAAATATTACAATTAAAAGATCATAACAACAGTAGGATTCATTTTATCTTGGTCTATGTAAAATTAAAATATAACTTTTTTTACAACGTAGATATATAAATAGGTCTATGCAGCTATTATTATCAAAGCATTTGACGAGTGAACAAGTAATCAAGCAAAATGACAATTTGACATTTTTACTAGCATTGCCATGATAGTACAGTAGCGCTATTTAAAATATTGGAAGCTGCATGAACATTATAGGCTATTGCATGTCCTGTCCTTGTGTGGTTCATGCATAGATGTACTGTACAAGTACATGAGTTCAAAATCCACAGCATGTAAATCTGAGCTAGTCAAAAGTAAGCCTTGGATTGCACAAGCAAAAACTATTATCTTGTTTTAAGAAATATTATACCAAAATGACGAGATTTTTATTGAAAACAAGCAAAATAATCTGCCAGTGTGGAAAGCAAAATAATTTTGTTTTTTCTTTTACACAACAATGTTTGCTTGTCTAGAAAATGCTTCTTAATTTAAGAATTTTTAGATATTTGAATAAAAACAAGACAAAAAAATCTATGTGAGAATTTTTTTACAGTGTGGTGCAAAGCCATTGAAATGAAGGGGTTACATTGTGCAGAGCTTTCTGTGTCCAGTGTGAAAGCCGCTTCACAGTACACACTACGCTATACACTACTAAACCAGAGCACTGAACACTGTTAGATAATGCAATGCAGTCAAGCATTTTTTTTTTTGTCAAATTTCGCTGGCTAGAGAAAAGAGAAAGACGGCTGAAAACAGATGCTCTTCCATTTTCACTAGCTAGCAAAAAGTTTGTGCATCGCTAAAGCAAATTATTACAAATTAGCACAAAGGATTATCTTTAACTTTTAAATTTGTGTGCCTGCATGAATTTAAAAATAACAGATTAAAATAGAACTTCAGTAAAAAATTAAAAAATAAACTATATTAAAAACTATAAAACAGCCTGCAAAAAACACGACTTGAGAACCAATGTGCACTCTGAAACTATTTTTATGTTTTATGAAATCTGCTTTAGTGATCAAGGGATGTCCAAACTCAGTCCTGGAGGGCTGGAGTCCAGCAAAGTTTAGCTCCAACCCCAAATAGATAGACCTAAACCAGCTAATCAAGCTCTTACAGGCTAAACGCTGCAGAACACCAGCCCTCCAGGACCAAGTTTGGGCACCCCTGAGTTAGGCTGTAGAGACACTTTAACCTATAGCTTAATAGCAGAATCACTTACATACACACACATTTATATGTACAAATAAATAAACTAACCATTCAAAACAGAATGCACAAAGTA